TGTGAGTGAAAATGCCACCTGAGAAAAATGGCCAGGACATGGGGGGTTTTGTCCAATCTGCCTGGGTCATGAGAGTCCCCTCCTAGGCCTTACCTGTGGCACTCTCTGATTTTAGGATAATGAAAACAGTTGATTCCCATGCTAGTATTTACCATTCCACCTTCTCTCTGACAGAATCAAGGTACTGGACGTATTTGCCGAGCAGACTTTGGAGTCTGTCTACTCTCGGCTCATTGAACCTCCGGCTATGGGAAGCTTGGACGCAGCCAAGCAGCGCCTGCAGGACCTGGGAGCTCTGACTGCAGATGAGAGGTTGACCCCGCTGGGATACCACCTGGCTTGCCTGCCCGTTGACGTGCGCATTGGGAAACTCATGCTGTTTGGTGCCATCTTTCGCTGCCTCGACCCAGCACTCACCATCGCTGCCAGTCTGGCCTTCAAATCACCATTTGTAAGGAACCCGTGTGCCACTGTTGAGAGGCCATATGTGTCACTTTTCAGATCATTTATGTCACAGCCACATGTACATCCAGTATAAAATACAGTTGCTTAAGTAGATTATTCATCTTTGCATTTATTTTTTAACAGAGAAGAACCCACATAATGGTTATTATTCACATTTAATTGTCTTATTCTGTAGAAATAGTGTCTAAAGTTGGTCTTGTGTCTGTTTTTGAGGTGTCTCCATGGGATAAGCGAGATGAAGCCAATGAGAAGAAACTGGCCTTTGCCTTGGCCAATAGCGACCATCTCGCTTTGTTACAGGCATACAAGGTACTGCCTGGGTTCATTTATTATAAACAGTATTAGTAGTATTGATCTGTAACACTGTTGGCGTAGCTTTTGAATCTAGGAAGTTTCTTGATGTGATGGATTTTCCCTCTGTTGCAGGGATGGTGCTGCGCTGCAAAGACGAGTAACCGGGCCGGCTTCCTTTACTGCAGGGAGAACTTTCTGTCTTGGCGAGGTTTACAGGTCAGGCGGCGCTGTCTGAGGCAATCTATTCTCTCCTATTATTGTGTAATGCTGTTACTGTGGAGTTCCTGGGCAGCAAGCCGGGCAGTAGAGCAGTGTTTAATATACTGAACATGTTTTCCTTTGAATTTACCACCTGCAGGCATTAAAAAAATCTAAACCTCCATATAGCAGAATAGCTTTTAAGCTTTAAAACAACTGACATTAATGTAGTTCTTGAGTTTAATTGTGTTTAATTTTTTTCTTAATCTTACATTTCTCGGGGCGTCGTGTGGCGTAGTGGTCTAAGCAGGCGCCCCATGTGTAGAGGCTACAGTCCTCGCTGGAGTTGGCCCCGGTTCGAGTCCTGCATTGGACGGCCTTTGGTGCCTGTGATTCCCCCTCTCTCTGCCTCCCTGTTTCCTGTCCCTCTACTGTACTATCAAATAAAGGCATAAAAAAGCCCAAAAAATATACTTAAAAAAAAAAAAAAAAAACTTACATTTCTTAAAATGTGTGCTGTGACGTGTGCAGGAGATCGCCAGTCTGAAGAGGCAGTTTGCTGAGCTGCTGTCTGACATTGGCTTCATCAAGGAGGGACTGAGGGCCAGGATTATAGAGCGCATGTGCTCTAATGGCACTGATGGAGTTCTAGAGGCTACTGGCCCTGAGGTAACACACACACACATTATAGTGCCGAAAGTGTTAAATTTGTTGTTACAATATACGCTAAGATATGCGGTTGTATGATATTTATTTGTCAGCTGCTTTTATCTGGCTTATTTTATAGAGAATTTATTTCAGTTTTATAAGGTGCACAGTCTGTTATTAAGTGCACATATGTTTTTTTGGACTCAACAGTCTATCCTTAGTCTTGAAGAAAAATTGATAATAATGATAAATGTCAAATCTTTCCAGGCTAACCTGAACTCGGAAAACATTCGGCTGATGTCTGCCATGCTATGTGCTGCCCTCTATCCCAACGTGGTGCAGGTGATTATTCATTCTTGCTGTTGTTTGAATAGAAAACTGAAAGCCAGTGATAGCAATATAAATTGGCTCATGCCTGATACCACTACTTGGCTTTACACTCCTGCTCTGTGTTTGACAATGTGATCCAGGTACGAGCTCCTCAGGGGAATTACAAGATGACCAGCAAAGGAGCAATGAAGATGCAACCTAAAGCCAACGAGCTTCGTTTCATGACAAAGAACGACGGCTGTGTTCACGTGCACCCCTCATCTGTCAACTACAATGTGAGATAAAAAAATCAAAAGATGGGGCATTGCATTCAATAGATAAACAGAGAAACAAGTCCTGTGACTCTTCTTGGTCTTTCAGGTTCGTCACTACAACAGCCCCTACCTGGTTTACCACGAGAAGGTGAAAACGAGCCGTGTCTTCATCAGGGACTGCAGCATGGTGTCTGTTTACCCGCTAGTGCTGTTTGGAGGTGGTCAGGTCAATGTGGAGCTGCACAAGGGAGAGTTTGTCATCTCCCTGGATGATGGATGGATCCGATTTGCTGCCACCTCTCATCAGGTCAGTGATAAGAGTGACAAAGGTTTGAGTAATTTAGAATCACATGAACAAAGTTATTTATCTTTCCACATATCCTTAAAAGGTCCATTGCAAACATTTTTGGGATGATGTTGTAAAAAGTTTACAAGCTGTTTGTAAACCTGTTTAATGTACTTTAAAGATTTAATAGGCTTTTACTCCAAAGTAAACAAGGCATTATAGCCAAGCCACATATATTATCACATAAAAATCATTATGTAATAATAATAATAATAATAATAATAATAATAGATTTTTTCTTATTTTAAATGATTGTTTATGCAGGCAAAAAATGACAACCAAAAATGCACAAAATTACAAATCAACTTGGTGCTGAATATGGCGCGTGTGTGTGCGCGTGTGTGTGTGACCCAGGTGGCTGAGCTGGTGAAGGAGCTGCGCTGGGAGCTAGACCAGCTGCTAGAGGACAAAATTAGGAACCCGAGCATGGACCTGTGCAGCTGCCCCCGCGGATCCCGCATCATCCACATGATCGTCCACCTCATCTCTACACAGTAGCTCTGCTCCCTAACAAACCTTTTTTGTCCCTTTTTATCACCTTCAAGGGCTTAAATGCATGGAGCTCTGCAGTATAAATGTCTTTGTACTCCTGCAGCACTGCTACATACTTAATTTTAATATCTTAAATCATTACTTAGGAAAAACAGGCTGAACAACCCTGTAACTGGTTAAAATTTCTATTGTATTTTTTAGAGACAGATCAGCTGGGCAGATATTGTACTTGAATTGAGGTCCTCTGGTGGAGGGACAGTCACCACACCACCCTGCTGCCACCTGGCACTTTACCACAAGTATCAGTTTACACAAAGCTATTATTGTGTTGCTGCACCAGAGGCTTTTTAAAGCAAATTATACCTTGAAAATAAAAAAATGGCTCTATGCAGGTTAATCCACAAAACTCCAGCATTGTTACTACTGGAATTAAGCGCTTGTCTTATTTTGATACCTAGGAATCACAACCGTAGAAAAGCTTTTTTCTTTGATGCCATACTACTACTGTATGTGCAGTAAATTGGCACATTGATTGTTGAATTTGATGTCAGATACAATTTGTATACATTGCATTTTTATTTTAGGTTGTGTGTACAGTATCTTGCTCACAACTGAGAATTTTCTTGGGTCCATATTGGATGTCTTTACTCACAGTACCTGCTTACTTGTTATGGTTGTGGATATTTATTTGTAATGCATGGTTGACAGTTCCAAGAGCTTGTGCATGGTATTTAGTTCTTTTACATTAACTGAATGTATTTAAATGTTACAGTGATGTCAAAACCACACTTTCACAATGTGAATTCAAGGGCTTTTTAAATCAGGAGAAGGTGGTGGATGTGGAGTCACCAAAGAACCTGAAAGCTTATTGTCTTAACAAGTGAGGAACTGCACACTGCACTAAAAATAAAAAAGAAATGATATTTGGCTGTTGATTTTTCTTTGCTCTTACCTCTTGCACAAATTTCTTGCTAAGTTTTGTGTTGTACTTGAAACCTAGCTGCCTCTTGGATGCAGCAAACAAATTTACTGGCTCATGGAAGAGGCCAGCCCCTTCATTCATGAGTCCATTCAGTCTCTATGACAACAGGACATAAACATATGGGGTATCGCTGTCCTAGTTGAAGCCATTCAGTTGCCACTTACAACAGTGCCAAGTCCAGAGCTGGTAAGATATATGTATTTTTTATTTGTGCTTAAGCTGTTTGAGAGGGCACATACTATGTATCCATTAAAGCATTGTTTTTAATCATAAAATAGTTACCTTCTGCTTCTTAAGGCATTCTATAGTATTTGTCTTGTTTTTCAGATGGGTAAATAATCTCTCATCACACTGGATGTGACCTTGAAGTTTTTCACTATGGTAAAGAATATTTAACTTTTGTTCCATGTAAACTATTAGTTCAATGCTAACTGTTCAATATGGTCACAGGAGGAACCAAACCAAAACCACTTGCATTTTTTTTCAAAGCCACCCAAATCCAGGAAATCGAGGTCCCACAGTTCTAGGCCTGCCAAGACGACTGGGAGTCCAAAAACACCCAAAAAGAGGTCCTCTAGTGCCAAATCCACCAAGACAGATGTGGACATCCTCAGCCCAGCAGCCATGGAGAATATCTACTACATTGCTCATAATGCGGTGGACTGTCTGGAGTTCAGAGGCTTTGGGTGGCCACACTCAAATAAAAAGAAGAAAAAGAAGAAGGGAACAAAACGAAAAAAGAAAAAGTAAATTATAATTTTTTGCCAAAGTTAGAGACTTTTTTTCTCATTTCGGTTAAGGGAATAGTTTCACTTAAATACCTTGGTAATAGCATCATCTAGTGGACAAATCATAACACATCCCAATTTAAACATGTTACGAAAGCTAGAGTTAGTGTAATGCAGCAATATGGAAATTGATACATATATTAAATATATATATATTAATGCAAGTTATAACAGAAAAATGTCATAATCCACGAGGCAAAGACTAACATTTTTATCAGCAACTTTATTGAAAGTTGAATGAGTCAGAATTGTTTTCACTCATATCATAAAAGGCTTGGCAGCAGCTTTTGACAAATCGGAAGAATCTCTTTCAACTTAGCGGAATAAGACAGAGAAGAGCAAATGCATACTCAAGTAATATTCATTTTAAAGAACATTATGTGGAGATAATGAATGTCATGTGTAAATTAAAACACCATAGTGCATCATAGAAAAGGCCAGCCAACATTGCCATGATACTGGACATAAAGTGTTCCCACTAGTTATTTATAATGTTCTTTAAATCCAGTCTTGGATCAGCAATTTATCTTACAAAAATAGGCTACTATGAGAACATGCCTATAAAACTAAGGGAAGAAACAAATACTGTTCCAGGCACTGTTAATATTCTCATATTTTACATTATATGTCCCTTTATCAAATGTACACTCATTATACCATAACCCTGTAAAATAAATAGTTTCTCTGCAGAGTCAATCTGGTATTGCTTGCAACATGGTCCCGCTGTGCTCACTCTGGGGGCTTCTTCTTGGCCTCCACATCTTTCTTAAAAGCTTCAATTTTCTTGGCTATGTTAGGGACCTAGGAAAGAAAAAGCATTACAGTCAGTACATCTGGTAAATGTATATAGTTGTATTAGGTACACCTTGCCAAAACTAAATGCAACTTGTATAACAACTTCGTAATTTGTGAGTGTTATAATGTTCAGTTTTTGTTGCAAATGTTTAACATACAATCTTACATTGTACTGGACCTATACTGTGGCGTTTTTTATTATTATGTCCAATATACATTCAATGTATCAGGAAGGATGGCCCAGCTAACCTAACTAAAACAGATGCAACAAAAACGTAACATTGTAACATTAAAAAGATTTAGGTTGTTATGTTGTATACGATTGCACTAGTTTGAACCAGGTGTACCAAATGAAAATGACAACTGATGTAGGTCATTGGAGTGGAATAGCTCAAGGACAGGTCTCCAGACACCCTTGGTTTACCGGAAGGAGGGTGTGGCAGAGATTGGACAGTAAGACAAGCAAGTAACTTTACTAACTCGTTGAAATACAATTGTCAAGGTTTATAAATAAAGACTAAAATCAGACAAACTTACATCATAGTTTTGAGCGAGGTACATCCCCACAACATTCCCCAGGGTGAAGCCAGCCTGGAAGATGACACAAAAAATGTAATTAGAGGCCGAAATATCTTATCTACCGATAACTTCAAGCAACATTTGCAAACTCATTCTCATGTTTATTTAACGTTGTAGCATAGTTAAATGTTGAATTTGTGGCGGTTCACTTTTACCTTACTTTACTAGAACAGAAAACTTCAATTCGCTACTACTGATACAGCTATGTCTACTGACAGGCAGTTACCATTATGCTAATACGTTAGCTAGGCTAGCTTCGTTGACATCTCTCAGCATCCAGACAAATGTCATGTACGACAATGTCCATTTAACTCACCAGGAACTGTAGCATGGTGGAATAAGGAAGTCACTACAGGACTATCCACAGCAAACTAACCTACTGACTAAAAATCAGCCAGTAAGTTGAGAGCTAAACAGGGTAAATCAACCAAGTCGCTTGGCTAATGAAGCTAGCTTGTCATCAACAATGGGTGTACGCATGCGCGAGAAAAGTCTCACGTTATTTTTCAGAGCAGACGAATTGTAGTCCTTTTCCTTGACCTGAGCTATAGTTGTTCCTCACTGGAGAACTACAATTCCCAGTGCCGCGCAAAATCTCTCGCCTGTGCAGTGGGTGTTGCTGCAATGGTGGCTTTTGTGGGACATTGAATGACTTTGGCTCCATCACGAAAATAACCGGTTTATTCATTTTATTTACAAAACGTGAGCATGGAGGCTCTTATCCCCGTTATAAACAAGCTCCAAGATGTGTTCAATACAGTGGGCGCAGATATTATACAGCTGCCGCAGATAGCAGTAGTCGGGACTCAGGTAAGACGCTGTGGTTGGGAGCATTTTGTGATTAGCGGCTGTCATGCTAGCAAGATAACCTTGCTTTAACGTCATGCATGCATGAATAAAGATAGCATTATAATAAGAGTTATACTAGCTGCGAATAATTAGTACAATACAACATATTCAGGTACCAGAATGAATTTACTGAGGCTACATAGAGACCTTTGTGGATGCAGAGAGCACTGCTAAAACCCCTCTGGATATTTAACTAGACTGCTGCAAACCTCATTTGCAAAGTCTGCACTGGCAGTGGCAGTGAAGTCTATTTTAATCATCTTCAATCACTGCTATTTTAAGAGCCTCATCCACACACTAACCTCCGTTGGCTAAACCAGGTCAATGCTTGTGCAAAAGACAGGTGCAATTAGCTGTGTTGTTTCTATCCCTGGTCCACCATGGTTCCATATCAGGGCTATGCTGGATTTGGTGTCTTTAATTGGGAGGTAGATGCAGTCCCTGATTTATCCCACATCTAACTCATGTCTCTATTTGTATTTTGTGTCTCCAGAGCAGCGGTAAGAGCTCTGTGCTGGAGAGCCTGGTCGGAAGGGATCTGCTGCCTCGTGGGACTGGCATTGTAACCAGGCGACCTCTCATCCTGCAGCTGGTCCATGTGGATCCTGGAGACGCCAGGAAAAATGATGACAGCGGTAGGTACCAACATCCCTGAGATCTCCAACAAGCAGTCCACTGTTTTGGATATTGCCTCCTGTGCAAGGCAAGGGTTTGGATGCTGCTTGCATATAATGCAGCAGAGTTTTCATATTTACTCTTGCACAGTATTTAGGTTATTATACACACATTTGGAGGGATCGTGCCCATAATTGTTGGTGTCCAGTATATAAAAAGTCTTCATATGATTTCCTGGTCCTCAGTATGCAGTTCTAAAGCTCTGTCATTGTTTTTCAAATCATTTGCAGATGCCAGGGTGTGAAAAAGCACTGTGCTTCTCAAAGGTGCATTGTACAGCTGTCCTCACATTTAAATACCCTGACTTAGCGTCCTAGTTCTGCTCCCTCCTTCACAAAGCTACACCTGTCATTCCAGCTACCTTATTCACAGGACTAGTAACTGTCGTCAGGTGGCTGTCCTTTCTGTAGGTCCAATGTTAGTGGTGCTTGCTTAACCTCCTGCACACAGTAGTTTAACACCTGCGTTCTTCCACCTCGAGAGTGCTAAGTGAATAGTATTTGACCCATACTGTTTTCTTGTTTTTCACAGGTAGAGAAGGTGAAGAGTGGGGCAAGTTTCTTCACACAAAAAATAAGGTATGGGTTTGTGTAATGTAAAGCATTTGAGTAACAGCCTTGGTCCTTGCTTGTTTTTGTAAATTTTTCCTTTTCCTTTCACAGATCTACACAGATTTCGATGAAATCAGGCAAGAAATTGAAAATGAAACGGAGCGAGTATCAGGGAATAATAAGGTGAGATGTGGATGGAGGATGCAGAGGACATTCTGTATGTTTTGTAATCCAGACCTACAGGATTTACTGCACAAATGACGTGTCTTACATCTCAAATGATTGGGTTTCAAGGAAGTGCTGTTGATGGGGAAACAAATCTATGATGTATATTATTACTGGCAGCAAATTCGGTTTGCCCACTGTTTGGTATGACCAAACAAGTCAACTGCTTACAAAGCACATTTTCAAACAAAAGGAAGAAGAAACAAAGAAGAACAAAGAATAAATTTCTGTCAAGACAAAATATTGAAAGAAAATACATGTGACACCAGTGACAGAAAGATTAGCGTGATGACCTTGTGATGGAACGAGAGGTGGAGGAGATCTGAAGTCATGAGAAGATTTTAGATAATAACATATTCAAAACTATATAAACTAAACTATATAAATATAAATGTATGTAAACCATCAAACGTTTAGGGCTACCAGTACTCAACTAATGTAACAGCCAATGATGGGAGGCTGCACAATAAAGACAATTGTTAAACTGTTTCCTGAGCTTCAACTGTGTTCCCTGTCCCAGCAATCACCATCTTTGCTTGGATTAGGAAAAGAAGTTGCAACTCAAGAAACAGATTAAAAATCATTTTCATCATGCAGCGGGCGGCAATTTCTTTTTTTCATCCACATAGTTTCAAATACTGCTGAGTATTTGTCTTTCAGAGAACTGAAATGTAAGGTGAGAGAAGAGCTAGCAGAAACGCAGTGGCGTCAGAACACTGCAAGAGAATCAAAATGCTACCTATTATATCATTATCACCCAAATTGACAGCAAGTAGGCAAAGTTTGTGCTCTAGCAAAACTTAGTTTGTAAATTCTTTTAACATGGGCTATAAAACTGTGTCAAGCAACACAGTACACATCTGTTCTGTCTCTTCCCTCTGCAGGGGATCAGTGATGAACCCATTCACCTGAAGATATTTTCTCCTCACGTTGTCAACCTCACACTGGTGGATCTGCCAGGAATTACTAAGGTAACTCATGCTGTACTCTCTCCTCACCAAGACAAGGCTTTGATCACTGCTGCAACAACCAATTATTGAAAAATGTAAAACCGAAAACACCTATAAGCCAGGTTTCACCAGATATGCCCGGTCACTGCTGTCAGTGTCCCTGTCTGGTCGATGCTTTTGTGTATTTATAGACGGCAGGGAGTTATCAGCTCAGTTTTAATGCTCCCAACCATGTGCTGTCAAAGTCCAAGTGTGTGCAGGCTTTGATTCCAGCCTCATTAGTTCCTTCCCTCTGGTTGAAAACATTGTTAATCTGAGAAATCCCCCCTAATGAATCAAATTGAGACATACTGTGTCTTTTCGTTTAATTGGTATTGTTCCCTTCAGGTGCCCGTAGGGGATCAGCCTAAGGACATTGAGGTTCAGATAAGAGATCTAATCCTGAAGCACATCTCCAACCCTAACTGTATCATCCTGGCTGTCACGGCTGCTAACACAGACATGGCCACCTCGGAGGCCCTCAAGGTGGCCCGGGAGGTTGACCCTGACGGTAAGAAACACTGAAAGGAAGACAGAATTATAATAACATTTATTGTCTGACTTTTCCACTGTTTAATTTGACAATAAATGTTGAAGAAGATGAGTGTTAGTAGCCATTTTTGTGACTCACCAGGCAGGAGGACACTGGCTGTGGTGACCAAGCTGGACCTGATGGACGCTGGTACTGATGCTATGGATGTACTAATGGGCAGAGTCATACCTGTCAAACTGGGCCTCATTGGAGTAGTCAACAGGTCTGAAGAGTTTACTGTTTACTGTACTGAACATACTATGACATTAGGCTATCTATTATTCAGACCAGAGATGAGTGTGTGATAATAGAGGTCAGTAGAGTTTAGTGTGCTATGATACATTTTTAATGCAGATATACTGTATCATTATCTATTGTTTATATTGATTCATCACTCTGTGGGTTGTTTTATTACTATCAGATATGATGAAATGATCCACCTTCCTTTATTATGCAGTTCAATACGATGAACATCAGTCAGAATTGTCATGACATATACATAATGTAAGATGGTCGACTGTTACTAATTTGTCTTATTGCCCAGCACTAAATATCAGTGTTGTGTTGTTGAAATTGAACTTTTAGGAGCCAGTTGGACATCAACAATAAAAAATCTGTGGCTGATGCCATTCGAGACGAACATGCTTTTCTGCAGAAGAAATATCCGTCTCTCGCCAACAGAAATGGAACCAAATACCTGGCAAGGACGCTTAACAGGTAAATGTAATAACAATCGTTACCATGACAAAATACATATGATTTGAAAGCACAAAGCCTCTTGCTTCTATCACTCTAAACCATATTGAGAACAGTTGATTAAAAAAAAAAAAACAGAAACAGAAAAGTCAAATTAAAAGAAGGAAATAAACACTATAAAAACATTTTCAACATGTTTGTGCTTCTCTAAATTTATTTCACTACTACTTATACTATACCAGCTCAGATTTTGTGACCATACATTTTAAGAGTGATAATTCAGAAGAGAGCAAACTGTGATCAGAATGGTTCAAGAATAGTTTTATTTTGGTAATGTCTTTTTCAAGTGAAAAATCTAAATAAAATCAATTTAAAAAAAACATGGTATTTAAATTGTTTCTAGAACAGTGACTGCAAAAAGTAAGATGTGACACATATACAGTGCATCTGAGGTAAATTTAGAATGTAACAGCAAATGGCCTGATCTTAGTACAGTATATCCATGTCATATTTCAGTTTTTCCTTTTTAATAAATTAATAAAAAAAATTCAAAATTCTGTTGAGTGAAGATTTGATGAGGAAAATCATACT